AAAGTCATTAATGTTCCAGCATAAATTGAATCACTACAGCCAAATTTATTGGCATTTATTCCATCGCCCAAAAAGGGAGTTACTACTATTTAGGCAAAATAATATACACAATTATCCAGAACATCAGAATAGTCTTCATAAACTCCTAGGTGGTGGATGATGCCTGAGTGTCATCCTGTCAAAATCATGAACTTCTATTTTAGATTTTTGCAGTGACGAAACTGTGCACGCCAACTGGTACTCAGCCACAGAACCCATCACCAGCCTCCCGGCAGCAGAGTCTGCACTTGCCACCCTCAGAAAGATCCAGAAATAGTTCTGCTTGGGAAGAGAGAGTGTTGACAGTTGAGTAGAGCCATAAAGTGATAACGTATTAGGAAGAACTTTGGAAATTTTGTATTATTTACAAGTGGATATAGAATATCCTACCAGTGTTCCTAAGTGAATAAATAACATTAGTTGTTATGTGAAAGCATTTGTGAGATAATGGCATTCCTACAACATCGGAGACTATGACTTTTATTTGCAAAGGTCCTGCGTGGCAGCGCCAAGAGGAAGGAGGATAGAGACTTTTAAGACAGAGAGACAAGTTCTGGCTGGTGTGTCACTTGTGAACTATGTTGTACAGCATTAGAGGTACAGAGCAGAGTTGAGAGATAAGTGGGCAACCCACCGAAGAGGATGTACTTACTCCAGGGCCAAAGACAACACGTGCTACAACCTCCAGGTCTGGGAGACAGGTGGAGGCAGGCAGGTTGGTAGGTGTACTGATGTTCCAGCTTGATTTTACAGTTCAAGCACACATGGCCTCTACTTCCGGTTCAATGTATTTTATGCCATCATGCATCACCATAGGTATTGTGAGAGCCAATTGTGACCTTCTACATCTCTGAAAGTGTCCATTTCCAGATACTTCTCATTTGGAGGGGAAAGGATAAACTTACTTAAATTTACTTGACTTGAGAAATGGATTCTCCTTTTCATAGCTAAGTGCTCTTGATATATTTACACGATCTCATTTAACCCATCCACTAACTCCAGCAAGGAAAACAATCACCTTCTTTTTTTGTTTTTATTTTTTAAGTTTTAAGTACAAAACCACTTATTTATTTGCCTCAGGTTGGCCTGGAACACACTGTATAGCCCAGGCTTGCCTTGAGGAACACAATGTAGGCCAGGCTGGCCTTGCAGCTGCAGTCTTCCTCAGTCTTTCAAGTACCGTGGTTACCAGTGCATACCATTATGCCACTATAACCAATTTCTGATAAAGAAGTTGCCTCAGAGGTCAAATGATTTGTCATGCAACCTGTCCAGGCACAGAGGATCCTCTAATGCTTAGGTCATCTGATGGCTCATTACAGGATATATTCAGAGCAAGCCAAGGCCTCTGTAAGCTCATTTTGGGTGACTGAGAATAAACAGGAGAGGGACCTTGCTTTGTGAGGACCATGGCATTCTACCATCCCTTGCCACTTCCCTCCAGCTGGAGCAGCCATATTCTTATGTATTTTTGTATAATGACATTCTGTAGGATAGATATACCACATGCATAAAGAATGCTCCACTGAAAACCTAGAATATCCCCGTTACACCAAGTTGAGCATTTAAAATGCTTACTGGGGACTCACAAGGTGGTATAGGGTAAAGGAGCTTGCTGCAAAATCTGATAGCCTGGATTTCATCTCTAGGGCTCAGACCATGGAAGGAGAGAGAGAGAAAACTTGTGAAAGTAGTTCTCTGACTGCCACATGTATGCTATGGAACATGTACACATGCACACACAAACAAAGATAATGTAATTATTTTTATACAAGTAAAGAAATGTAGTTATTGTTAATTGAAGGAACAAGAGTGATGTAAGACATGAGATGGACTGGGTACACATACGCAGTTTCACATCTACACAACTCTGAACAGGATACGGGTCCTCTACCCATCCTCCAAAACTAATGGTTCCAGTTACTTTTAAAAATATGTATATGCATGGACTCTCGTGAGTTTATTACTGCAGTAGCTTGCAGAAGCCAGAAGAGGGCATCAGATCCTTTGGACTGGAGTTATAGATGTTTACGTGGGTACTAGAAACTGAGCCAGGTCCTCAGGAAGAGCAGTAAGTGTTTTCAACAGCTGGGCCACCTCTCCAGTTCCATCTTAGTTACTACAGTGAATAAAAAATTTTTTTTTCAAGTAATGGCTAGAATGGCTTCACTTCCATCAGCCTGTGAAGTCACTGGAAAGCTAATGAATTCAATCTCACTAGAAGATGGTTTGCACCGAACTATCTCAGAGCCACTTTGACGTGATAGCGTGCACCGAATCACCATGAACTGTAAGCACTCTTCACTTTAATTCACCAGGCCTTTTCTAAAGACCACTAATTAACACATCGAGGAATGAGATTGATTAATTAATTTTTTCCTGAGATAAAACATTTAGAACATCCCTCAGCGCCTCTGGAGAAATGTGTCAGTGATGCAACACCCAAGGAGAGAGGCCCGAGAGCTGGCTTTGGATTTGCTCTTACAGTTAGTCAGCTTGTGAGTCAGCTGAAGGAAGTCAGTCAGACTTCCCTGCTCTTCCCTGCATTTGCTCATTTGCTTTCTCCCTTCCTTCCTTCCTTCCTTCCTTCCTTCCTCCCTCCCTCCCTCCCTCCCTCTCTTTCTCCCTCCTTCCTTTCTTTCCTCCTTCCTACCTTCCTTTCTTCTTTTCTTCTTCTATTTTTTTTAATAAGTCTACTTTTGTAAGATTTACTTTTTATATGTGCCCTGGGGTTTTGCCTGCATTCATGTCTGTGCAAGGATGCCAGATCCCCTGATAATGGAATTAAAGACAGCTGTGAGCTGCCATGAGGGTGCTGGGAATTGAACCTAGCTCCTTTGGAAGAGCAGCCAGTACTTTTAACCATTGCGTCATCTCTCAGGTCCCACTCCTTGGCGTTTTCATTGGAAAGAGGAAAGATGTATTTTGGTTCACAATTTCAAAGGTGTTGGTTCCTAGTCACTTGGCTTCTTGTACTGAACCAGAACAGTGGTGGGACTCTGTGTTGTGGGACAGTTCCTATCACCCCCGACAGGAGAAACCAGAGGCTTGCTATAACCCAAAGGCCTCCTGCTGTTCTAGTCTGCTTACTATGCAACTGGAGGAGGTGAGTTTCACCACTGATCTGACAAAAGCTGGTGACACTTCTCAGGACAGTCCCTAGTGAGGGATTTTTCGACCTGTAAGTGGAGTCATATATGATCAAGACTGGCTGTTTATTTTAAACTTTTATTTAACATGAAACAGAGCTGCATAAGCTAACATTGACATTTAAACAGGGCTCTGGAATGTTTTTGAAAAGTCAATTTTTTTAAAAAAAAATCTTTAGATTATGTTTTGAAAAGCATTAGATTACATATTGCACCAGTCATAGAATTTTGATTTTGCATTCCAGATTTATGACAACAATTTAGTTATAAATTGTGGTCATGTTTTAATTACAATTTCATTTAGCTATGTTATGAACTGAATGTGCAGCTCCAAGATTTATATGTTGAAATCCTAACCTCCAATATGGGAGAATGGAAGAGAAAACTTAGGTCACAAGGATGGTACCCTCCAACAAGAACTTGCTGCCTTCCTCTGTATGCCACACAGTTTGGGACAGCAAGAGGGTAACCCTGACCAGAATCTAACTTACTAGTACTTTTATCTTGAAGGAAAATATTTGAGACTTTGAGAAAGAAATTTAAATCACCCAGCCTGTGGATGCTTTGCTACGGTAGGTAGCCTGAGCTCACTGATGTATTTATAAAACATACTGAGAAGCATGAAACAGGAAATAAAATTCAATAAATATGGGATACAAATAAGTATGTATTTGCTTTATTATTCTACATATTTTCTTATCCCAGAAAACCTGTCTATGTATGTATTCTGCTTTTGAGACAACTCTTCTATGAATTACAGAAATAATCCCTAGAAAGTATAGTTTCAAGACAACTATGTCAGATTATAGTGATAATGGGACTAAGATGCTTTTTGGTAAATGATTGTTAAAAAAAATAGCTACCTTTTATATCTTCTTGGAATTTAAAAATAAATGACAGTATAGATTCACCCAAAGTACAAATTTACAAAGACACACTTGGGGCTGGAAAGATGGCTCAGTGATTAAGGGCATTTCCTGCTCTTCCAGAGGAAGGACCTGGGTTCAATTCCCAGAACTCACATCACACCTGTAACACTAGCTTTGGGATCTGACACCTTCTTCTGGCTTTCGTGGTCACCTGTATGCATGTACACATGCATATACAAATACACACATATAAACAAAAAACGAAATAGAAAAGACACACTTGAATGCAATCCATCATATATTGTCTAGAAGATAAAAATACAACAGTTACTAAAAACAGCATGTTAATAGAACATGAGGAGCTACCAACTAATGTGTCACGCTGTAAAGGTATGACAAGGCACTTCTGTGATAGGTAAAAGTACCAAAACTAAACATGTGCTTTATACAGAAATGGAATTGGGCCAACATGTTCTCACCTGACTCTGTTTCAGTCAAATCCTATGGACAGAGTCAAAGCCATTAAAGACCTAGGCACCCGTGTGTTTCCATCAGAGCAGCCTCCTGAAGATGTGTCAGTCCAGGGAAGAGAACTCACACAGGCATGATGCTGCTTTAAGAAATTCATTACAGAAGCAATAGCAAGAGATAAAGGCAGAGGAGTGATGGGCCTTTCTGTAAGTGAAGGGGTGTTGTCTCCCAATATGTGAGAATAAGATCTTCAGTCTTGAGATAGAAAACTCAAGATTTCTTAAGCCTGTAAACCAACTCCTGATTAGCTCTGAGTTGCCAGTATACATTTGAGCACAGTAAGCCACCTCAAAGGGGTGACTATCATAAGACTTGACACTTGTTTGTGAAAACAAACTAATTTAAAGGAGACCTTGATTTTTTAACCAGTTAAATCCCGAAAACTTTCTGAAATAAACTCTTGATTCCTTACCTTGCCATACTTCTGTGCATAAGATCCAGTGAGGAGAGAGTGGAAGACAATGATGGTCTCATCCAAGTCCCAGACAAATACACGCTGAGGAGAAACAGCCAGTGTCAACATGGTTGTGGTTTAGGGACACAGGTCTTTACAGTTAGAAAACGGTCTTGTTATAGGCAGTCTTGACTGGCCTATAACAAAATCACCCTCTTCCAATATTTACTCATTTTTCATTTGCCAAGTCTGACTCTCGGAAAACCTGGGAACATGGGTGATATAAGTGATCAAAAGCTTAATGATCAGGTGTCCTGACTTGAATGAATACAGCCGACATTTGATTATAGTTACTAGGAAAAAGATACAGCCTGACTTTATGATGAAAAGGTGTGTAATATTGATCCATTATAGTTTGAAATTTATAAAGATATTACTATTTTCAAAACAGTTTAAAGTAGCCCCTTTAGTGTTGACTCTTGAGTCACATCAACTGGCAAATGTGTTGTTTGGCCTGCAGAAACTTCGAGGAGATTTCAAAGGACTCAACAAATTTAGGAGATTCTACCAAACATCAGGGCTTTGACTCTGCCAGAGAGTCTGGAGTTTGAACTACACTGACTAACACTCCAAATGTGCAGGATGGCGAGTTCCTTGGGATGGGCCAATGTCTCTGCCTCACTCCTCACCCTTTGGGCTCGTTAGCTGTCAGTCATTGTCATGTCACCTCCCAGGCTCCAGAATGCGTTTTTTTTCCTCTCAAGTGTAGTCATGCAAATCTCTTAGGAAGAGGCACAATGTCTGCTACTTGATTTGAGGTACAACTAGAACTAATTATTTTTTTCCTGTTAAACTATGTGTTTGTGTAATTGTGTAACATATTATAGTTATTCAGGGTTTTATAATAGAAACGTTATGTCTCAAAAGAGCTCACAAGTGGAAAAATAAATAAAAGTTCACAAATACAATATATAGTCAATGGCAAAATTTTATTGTTTTCCTTTCCACACAGATTGCTCTTATCTTCTTAAAAATTTATTTTCTTGGGAAATTATTCCACAAATAGTAGCTTTATTTTTAGCTTTAAAAAATAATTTTGGATCAAAAGATGAAATTATGTTAGTCTTCAACATTCAAAACTCTCTTGCCTTTGATATTATTGTTTTAAAATTTGCTGTTATGATAGACAAAAAAAAAAAAAAAAAAAACCTCATAATTCAAACTGATAAATTACCTAAAACAAAGCAGGTCCATTCAATTCAGGATATATATTTCAATTTGGAAATTTACTAGTTAGTAAATTATGGACTATATCATTCAATAAAATCGAGTGTCTTCTGTTTCTTAGTGATAAGCAGACATACCTCCAGGTCACTGTCCGGCGGTGGGGAGGGATTATTTTTCCGGCCTCTTCCTCGAGACTTTGACCCGGAACTTCTACATGTTCTGTCATCAAGATCTTTGATTGGTGTAGAGGGGCTCTGCACTGTATCAAATTCTCCTATAAACAATATTATTGTGATAAGAAGAGTTTAGTCTTAGAGCAACTACAAGTCTTCATTATTATGTTACAATTTCCTACACATTAATGACCGCTTTACGACAAAAATTATAGTTCAAAATATAAAGTTGTCATTTAGTCAAAAGCTGTATAGGTTATAAGAATCCCTCATTGAAGCCTGAATACCTTTCATATACCGAATACCTTCAGCTTCCTGTTTGCACTTCCATTTGGGTCACATTTCAAAACACAAGATGGCTTCTGGATAAACCCCATGCTTCTCCTCCAAACTTGACTCCCCAGCCCCACAGGTACTGACTCTGTCCTATCACTCCTGGTCTTTCCTGCTCCATCTTCCCTTTCCCTGGACCCCTGGAAAATTTACAACTTCTTGACCGTGCATTTCTATCAAGCCACTCTTTGCTTGCTATCCTCTCTTTCAGATGAGACTCCTTGAGACAATAATCCACACTATTGCTACTCAAATAGAAATAAATGAAAGCCCCAAGATTGAGCATACACTTTTAAATTTGTAACAGTTACATTAGAAGGCAAAAAGAGACACAAAATGAACTCATATAAGCTAATCCAAGATATACAAAGTACCCTTTTAGCATGTAATCAACATATAAAATTAGCAAGAAAACTTTTACCTTTATTATTTTTATAGCAACTTTTTTGAAATATTGTGCATACTACAGCTATTTTAATATGTAGTTTCTATGTTGTAAGAGCTTGATAGCCATAAGTGGACAGTAGTCACACAACTAGCTGTATGATGCAATTCCTTGTATTACCGTATATCCAACTTACTGAAATCTAATTTCAGTTCATCAGAACTTGAATACACATACTTTACTGAGAATCCTGATTGACAAATTCAATGTATAGGCTTAGCCCTTATCTTTCCAGACAGGTGATGTCTTTGATCCTATTAAACACAGCCCCTCAGAGTTAGTATTTGGCAGCTGATATCCTGTGGCTTGTGAGTTCTAGCCTTTCTCTCAAATGCCTTTCTAGTTAGGATCAGGGATTCTTGTCCTGTTGTGATGAGGGCAGGTATCAAGTCACTCCTGCTCACACATTCTGCATGGTGCAAGCATCTCATATTCTAATGCCTCTGAAAGTGAGGACACAGAACAAGTCACTCCCTCCCTCCATCCAACATCTGAAGTTTTAGATTGGCTTCTGTATTTCTATAGGTCCCTGAAATCCACACTCACCTACAGTTAGTGACCATGGATCTTAGGAAGCAGGAAGCACTGCCCAAGTCTTTGTTAAGGTAACCCGGAACTACACAAGGCCCAGTGTAGCAAGTCGTCTAGACCTGCAATAGTACTCCAAGGATTTCACTGGACCTCAGTTTCAGTATATATTGAATTCCAGAGAAGAAGCTTTTTAAAATTATTGTGGATGAATCAGATTTGCATTTAATTTAAACCATCTGTGTAAAATTAAAGTCTCGAGATAAGAAAATCTGTACAATAAATTTAAATGATGTGTTTATAAACAAAAGTAATATGATGATCTTAATTTATCATTAAATTTAAAATAAAATTCAATAAAATAAATCACTGGGCATTGAGTAATTCTGGAAAAATGGCACATTGAACATGGCTTTTCTGAGAAACAGTAACCATTATGGAGGTAATAACTTACCATTTCTTTTGATAACATTTTATTTTGGAAGTACTGTATGGTACAAAATCAAAAATATGTCTCATCTGTCTTTCCCGGTAAATAGATGGGGAAAGATGGGAGTGATAGAAGAACTACAAAGAGAATATCTAAAACTAAGGGTTATTTGAGAGGTCACACAGAAACTTAATACAGTAGAAACTTTCTAAAATGTATATATACATGGAGATGATCTAATAAAGTTGTCAAAGTAACGGGAAGACAGAGCCCAAACTGGATACCTCTCACCACCAAATGAAGCTTCCAGTGCCAAAGAGAGCCCACAGAAACCCCCAAAACAACTGAGGCTATTGCAGAGGCTATTGGTGGCCCCAGTGCTGAAGACTACACCTTCACAAGTCATTGAACATGGAGAAGTTAAGCTGGAGTCCCTAGAGCCTTCACCTCTACCAAATAATGTTTATTATACTGGAAGGTTTCCTGCATGTTGCCAAAGGAGAAACATAAATACAAACCCAGCTACAAACCCTGTGATGTACAAAGGAGATCTGCATGCAAGGTGCACTAATGCAATCATGGTTCAAAGCCTGTGAGACTAACCACTCAATATCTGATTAGATTTAAGGTCTGCCCCATGATATAGAACCCATTCTTGCCACTGCTGTGTGGTGAAGAACCTGAGACTAGATAGTCAAGGACCCAGGGGAGAACCAAATACTACTCTTATGCTAAAGAAACCTAGCACAAAAATGACTACTAATGGCATTCTTCTATACTCATAGATCAATGTCTTGCTCAGCCATCATCAGAGAAGCTTTCTCTATGGATGGTGGAATACAGAGACCCCTAGCTGACAATGTGCAGAGAGTGAGAGACCTTTGGACTTGGCTTTCTAGACACATCAGAGCTTATGTGTGACCTCACAGAGATTGTGGCAGCATGCACAGGGCCTGCACAGGTCTGGGCCTGATGGAATCCAGAGCTGAGAGAGCAAGTGGACACAAGCCCCCATTTCTAACACATATGCTATCTCCAACTGAAAACTACTCGAAAATGAAAAATTAGTTTTCTCTAATGGAGACTCACTAGGTATACAAACCATACATAAGACAGATTCCATGCTCAGCTGTAGATGGTCAGCACAAAACCAACTCAACACAAACCTATTTCTGCCTTCCATTGTTAGAGTGAAAGACAAATTTCCTTAGGTTACTATATCTTGAAAATCTAATAGCCTCCTTTAAATAACATGTTTCAAATGAATTCTTACTTTCAAATTTGATTTTTATTTATGTGTATGGCTGGATGTGGGTGTGGATATGTGTACATGTACACTTGTGTCCATGAAAGCCAGAAGATTACCTCAGATGCTCTGAGCTGTTTGTGAGCCACCAGACATGGGTAGTGGGAACCACATTCAGGTTTGTCTGCAGGATCAGGAAGTGCTCTCAACCTCTGAGCTATCTTTTTGGTCCCATATCAACTCTTAATTTAAAAATAGCTTAACGTGGGTGTCGGTTAGGAGGCCTGGGCAGTCTGTGGGGCCTCTGGTAGTGGATCAGTATTTATCCCTAGTATAGGAATGGACTTTGGGAGCCCATTCCACATAGAGGGACACTCTCTAGGCCTAGACACATGGGAAGCCACAGACTTTGATGATTCCCCATGGTAGGCCTCAGCCTCCCTGGGAATCAGAAAGGGGATAGAATGGGGGAGAAAGGGAACTGGGATTGATATGTAAAACAAGATTGTTTCTAATTTAAATTAAAACATTTTCTTTTAAAGTAGCTTAAAAAAAACTATTTTGGGATGGCATTTATAAAACATTTTTTTTTTTTTGCAGCCCTATCCTACACACACTCATTGTTTTATTTATTTATTTATTTATTTATTTATTTATTTATTTATTTATGTTTTGTGTTTTTTGAGATGATGTCTCATGCTGGTCACAAACTCCCTGTGTAGTTAAGGATAACACAGAACTACTGATCCTCTTGCTTTTTCTGCCCAAGCGCTGGAATAACAGATATACATATGACCCTTGGCTTTTTAAGAATTTTATAGATCAATTTTAAGCTGTTACAGATAGCAAAGTAGCTTTTTAGTTTTGGTAGCAGTGTAAGAATTGAAAGAAGAGAAAATTGCAAATTGGTGTCTTAAACTGCAGATAGGGAAGCTGGTATGGTCCATACTGAAAGAATTTAGTAGGAAGAAGTCAGCCATTTAAACCTGATATTCAGCAACTATCACAGTGTTGAAGGGAAAAATGGGGTCACAGGAAGTGTGTGGATTTCTAGACACAGAAGAATCTGTTCTTACTGATTCTTGGCCAGTTATGTTAGGATCTTAAAAGTACTTGAAGAATAGAGAGAAAATATGGACAAAAGTGCTTTCATGAAGGTAAACCAGACCTTCAGAGAAAACTGTGAAGGACAACCCCATTTTAATTAAACTCTTAGTCTAAGTATACACTGCTTTTTACAAAGAAGTGTGTTTAAAAAAAAAAACAAAACAAAAAAAACCATGTGTCTGGCTTCATTCTCAGCTCATTATGCTGGTGAGAACTCAGAGTGATTGTTTGTTCTTTCCTTAATTTGCCTAGAATTCCCTCAAGTACATATGTCATTCTTTATCCTTTCTGATGAATGTCATTTACATCAGCAACACTGTTAGGTGATTGTAAGTAAATCTGATGGAATGTGCTGTCTGTGTGCAAGTGAGCTCTCCCCACTCTTGGGTATCTATCTACACCCAGCACTGGCATTGCTGGGTAAGGAAGACATACACTCATCGTGTATAGACACAGAGTGAAAGTATCAACTCGCTACCCCGCCCCCACCCCCTAGCATCACCCCCCCATTGTTCCTTGCTACTCCCTGGTATTGTTAGTCTTTATTTCAAACTTTGAGGATATATGGTGGGAAGGTATTATTTTAAATAGAATTTTCTTGATGAGTAATAATGAGGAATATGTTCAATCATTTAAAACCTGTTTTCTTACTGATTTGTTCGTTGTGAACATGTGTGTGTGTGTATATATGCATGTGTGTGAGAGAGACACAGAGACAGAGACAGAAACAAAGACAGACAGACAGAGAGACATGTAGAGAGAATTACACCTCACCTAACACAGAGCTTATGTCCTCATTATTATCTTATAATTATGGAAAAAGCTGGTGACATGTTATACTTAGTTAGCCAACAAAAATCTGCTGATAATTGGTGGCATTGATGTGATTCCAGAAGTTTTGTTTTAACTGCTAGGCTCATACTTACTCCTCCAAATAGCACCAGTTCCTACTGATCAAGAGAGTCCTCTAACAGCCCACTAGGATGAAAGAAAATATTTGGAATTCATGCAT